GTGAAGATACAGCACCATCTATAAATTTTGAGTCTTGCTTTGATGTCATAGGGAGGCATGTAGGGGTGAGCGGGATTGTCCATTTTGCTGAGAAGTTTCTGACTTGCGCACAGACATTCAGCTTACTCTCAGACACATCCACCAAGTCTGAAGTTCAGCTCCCAGAGCAGAACCAGCCTTCTTAATGAGCTTGTTAAAGGTAGCCATTGTAATCTAATATACTTTTAATTTCTTTTAAATTCTGTTAATCTCCTCAGCTGTCCGTTTTGTGTCTGAAAAGAAATCTGGTGATCCTACACAGCTCTGGTTCTGTAAATGAGAAATAAACATTACATAATAAACTCACACTGAGCCTCACAGCACTATTCCAGCCAACAAGCAACAGGGCACATTCGTGCTCAAGCAGAGGACAAGGGCAAGAAAGAGCAAGAAAGGCAAAGAGTCACGTTAACATTGGTAAGGCTTTCCAGTGGTCGAGACTGGAGGTTGGACTGGAAAAAAAATTCAGACCTGGACTGTGACTGACCCGCACCGCAAATTACATGCACACAGAAATGGCTGAAAAAGAGACAGACAGGAAACTTTAAAAAGTTGATGACGGTACGACCGATGTGGCAGTGCACTGCTGCAGCAGCCAACTGGGATTAATCCCAGTAGTCGTGATGGCCAGTCCAACTATGGTGGTGAGCTCTGGACCTCTGGGAGTTGAAAGATATGAAGACAGATGTGAAGGTTGATCGGTTTCTGCTTGACAGGTGGGTAACTGTAGTTTTGGTATATTTCACAGAGCTGGTACTGGCACTGGCACTGGTACTAATATGACAAGAGTATGACTGATGTGACTGTGGTTTGGCAATGTGTGTCCAAACCTTCCTGTTCTTTTTATCATGAACTTCCAGAGATGCCAGTTTGCATGGCTGTAATTTATTTACAGCAGTTGCATCACCTTCCACTTGTTGAGACAGATTCATTTGTGTGCTTGTGTGGTGTGAGAGAGTTTGTGTGGATGAGTATTTGTGGAACATGTCACAAGTACAGTCGTTTGTACATGGGCATACTGTATTATGCAGTTTTAAACCTTGGGAGCTAGGCCATTTTGGCTGGTCCTCAAATTCTGAATCACCTTTAAAGGGCTGTTTGAAGAAGCTGCATAATGTCAGTGAGTGTCCAATCCCATCCAATCCAATTTTATTTATAAAGCACTTTTTACAAATGTTACACTGTTAAGCAAAGTGCTGTACAATAATAATAAGATAAAAACAAGACATATAACACAAGCAAAAAAATCTCACATTGAAAGTACAAAAAGACATAAAACACATGCAAAAACAACAACAGTTAAGCAATAAAAAGGCATCTCACACTTTGTCAAAAGCCAAGGAAAAGAGGTGCGTTTTAAGAAGAGATTTAAAGACAGGCAGTGCAGAGGCCTGCCTAATTGGGATTGTTTGTGTTGATAATTGTTTGGGAGCCGCAACTGCAAATGCCTGATCCCCTCTGAGTTTCACTCTAGTTTTCGGGACCACTAAGAGCAGCTGATCAGCAGACCTGAGAGACCGCAAAGGTACATAAGGTTGAAGCAGGTCAGAGAGATAGGATGGAGCAAGACCATTCAGGGATTTATAAGCAAACTTAAAAGCAAAGCAAAGATTTTGAAATTGATTCTGAAGCACACAGAATGGGGAAAATGTGCTCTCACTTATGTCTTCACAAAGATAGAAGTACAAAAGTGTGTGTGTGTGTGTGTGTGTGTGTGTGTGAGAGAGAGAGAGAGAGAGAGAGAGAGAGAGAGAGAGAGAGAGAGAGAGAGAGAGAGAGAGAGAGAGAGAGAGAAATTGATAACAGCTTACATTTAGCTAGAAGTAACCTGAAAGGGGGTGGGGAGCTCCAGGTTACTATAGTATGAACTAATATGAACTGGAGAACCATTGCAGGGCTGGGATATATCTCAAATTCATTTGATTAGTTGGAATTTTAGGATTTGCATGATGTGTAAAATGTCTACATTATGAAAACTAATTTGTTACATTGTACACAAAAAAAGTTATTTTATGTCAAAAAATAACAGATGGTCGCTGGTCTCATGACTGACAACAGTCCAGAAAACTGTTATGTGTGATACATGGTTTCACATTAAACTACCAACAGTTTATAGTAGTACAATTGGTGCTAAATAAATATTTTTACATTATGGTATTACTACTGTTACTTTAGATTAAGGAAATGAATATGTCTTCCACAAATGAGTTACATAACACAGCTGCATTTCACCAAAGCAAAGGAGAAACCTGCTGTGACTGTCACTACACAGATTAACATTAGACAAATTCTAAATAAAAGTTGTCAGTGAGGATACTTGTCTATTTACATCAGAAAAAATGGATCACCTGAATATTTTTTCTCATTGCCATAGCTATAACTTATTGAAAAGAAAAAGTGAGGCTCCTCATTGTTTTTTGTCATTAAAGGAGCTATTTGTAAGTTTTGCTGTCACTACATAGCCATACATAGTGTTTGCATTAACAGCTGTTCACTTACCTTAGTTTAAAATACGAGAGGTTATAATACTCCCCTGAGCAGTGCTGCTTCTTCAGGGTAGACTTGACGCTACTGTGACTCAGTATCAAAAATGGATGAGATGGGCCGACTGTGTTGGAGTTATCTAGTTAGCATGCTAACTTCAGTAGAAGAAAAGAAGTGGCAGAAAGAGAAGCACAACAAATTGCTTTCCACCACTGGAGACACTGTTGGAGTAAAGGAATGAAGTTTGATGTTCTTCTACACTGGTAAGTAAACAGCTGTTAATGCTAACATTGACTCCCTTAAACATACATACTTATTCTTTGTAATTTTATTTTTTTGGTATAATCATTTAGCCCTTCAATCCTAAAGTATGCGCACATTTTCCGAGGTTCATATCTCAGCTGTTTTCTGACAGGGGAGCAAAGGTCAGACTACTATATGATTACCAGATAAGAAACTGAAAACTAACAAACTAATACAACAGCTCCTCATCACCCTAAACCTTGACCTTGACCCAGTCAGTTTAGCTGCATTTGTCCAGGATAATGCATATCACTCTATTAGTATTTATAACACAGCTGTCAATTTATAGGTGAGCTGGTGAACTTGTGACTTTCATTAAGATATTTTTTTATTATTAAATGAGTAGAACCACCTTATTAGTTCTTAAATCTACAGTACATAAACCTGTCTGCTGTCTTGTACCTGTGGCACACTGATGGATCACATGAACTCATCAATACCAATGATCAGAATATTATAATTGAGATTTTTGTTTGAATACACAATGAATTATGTAACTTGTCTGACCTGACCACCATGTCAGATTTCCAGCCAGCTATCTAAATAACACCTGTTTTCCTGAGCTGATTGGGACTGTGGGTACTGTAGTATATTGGACTAAAACCTGGTTTAATGTGGGCAAAATAATAAAAACTCAAGGCCTCAAGTTTCACAGCACAAAACTGACTGTGTGTTAATGCTGAATATTCAGTTTTTCCCTGTAATCTGCGGAGAATCTAGATCGGATGCATACAGCATGATAGGAATCCCTTTATACTACACTAATATCAGTGGAAAAATATTATATGTATGATGTTTGATAATATATGATGAATTAAAACTGAGATAGGGGTTAATAACGTATGAGGATTTTCAACGCCAATTTTAAAATAAAAAAATTGCAATTGTTCAAACCTTAAGAATGTTGTGTACACACAAATTCATATTAGAATTTTAAATTAAGTAAGTTTTTGTAAATAATGATCTGAATATATACAGTATATCTTTATGTATATATATATATATATATATATATATATAGATAGATAGATATACATAGATATAGATATACATAGATATATAGATATACAGTATGTATATTATATAAAGACCATTATCTATGGTCTGTCTTTGTTCTATAATATCACATTTCCCTTTTTAAAACGCTGTAAACAAATTTTTTAAATCACCACTGTTCATCGTTGTGATTGTCTGCCCTGCCCTGATGTGTTTGTCTTTTGTTAATTACATCTGCTTCCCTTGTGTATTGAAGTCTCTGTCTTTCCCTCAGTCCTTGTCAGTTTGTCTGCTGTTTCCTCAGTGTCACCTCATGCCTCTGTTGAGTTTCCCCAAAGTCCCCTCATGCGTCTGTTCAGTTTTCCCTGGTATTTCTATGTGCTTCAGTTTCCATTTTTCCTGTAATTTGGATTTTGGATTTATTTGCGTTTTGTGGATAGCTTCATTATTGTGGACCCCTTCCTTCCTAATCAACCTGTAAGCTTCCTGTTTAATAAATCAGTGAACAGTGTCAGGTCATTGTCTTCATCTGCATTTGGGTCCTGATAACCTTAAAATGTGGGAGCATATTTTTTGGGCATTTTTGCCTTTATTTTAACAGCATAGTGAGAAATAGACAGGAAATGCAGGAAGGGAGAGGGGGATGACATGCAGCAAGGGGCTTTGGGCCAGACTTGAACACATAGCCGCTGAAGTTGAGAGTAAGCCCATGTGCTACCTGGTGAGCCACCAAAGCCCCCCAAAATGTGAGAGCTATTTGTATGTTTTGGTCACATTAGCATAACAGCTACCAGTCTAGTATAAACAGCAACAGCTGTCCTCAGCGGTGGAAAGCAACCCCCAATTTCTATATAGAAGTTAGCAATTGTAATGTTCATGTTCATGTTCATGTCCCGACTTTGACCTTATGTCTTCGCATGTCACAGCTCTGCTTAGTTCTTCCTGTTTCAGACTTCTGCAGAACAGTAACTTGCAGCACTGTCTAAAATATAAGCTACAATCTAATATTGATATGCACACATGACTTAGAAGAGTTATCAACGTGAAGCAGTTGTGCAACAGCCCCTCCCGTACTTGCTCACTTCTACAACACATTCTAACCAGCTAGCTCTGGCCTGGTTGACCTGTCTCGTCACTTTCCGATTCTAAGTCAGTGTAGCGTCCAGGCTGCCCTGAAGAAATAGCGCTTCTCAGAGGGTGTATTCTAACTACTTGTATTGTAAATGCAATGGCTGAAGCTCTTGCCAAGACTGGTAAGTTACCAATTTTTAATGTTAATGCCAGCTATGCAGCAATAGCAAAATTTACAAACAGTTCCTTTAAAGTTTGACCAGAGTTTCACTTCTGAACACAACCCCATCATCGTTATCATACACTTATTTTATATTTCAAAACTTTGTGTTTAGAGAATTGTTACTGTCTTCAGGTAGATGGATGATTCATTTTCACTCTAATCAATCAAACTCTCTCTCAAATTTAAATCGAAGGCAACTGGACTTGTATTTGTCTGTGTAAGACGTTTCGCCTCTTATCCAAGCGGCTTCATCAGTTGCCTTCGATTTAAATTTGAGAGAGCGATAACTATGACCTGGACGAATGAGAACATTCACAGACACAATCAATCAAACTGGCTTTCTTGTCATCTTTAGTGTTGTCTTTCTTGATGAACTGGATTTAGCTCCACCTGCACAATGGCAAGTCTCAACAGGTCACTCTTGCCACATACTGTACAACAGTGGAGTTCATTCCTGCTCATGCTTGCACACACATGTACACTCACACAGTGCGAGCCCAGCAGAGACCTTGAATCTGTTTACCAACCTGGATGCCCTTCAGGTGGACCTGTCCATGGACTCCAGTCAAGGCCATCTCTCTTTCTATCTCTCTCTCTCACTCAGGGACTCCAGTCAAGGCCATCTCTCTCTCTCTCTCACGCATGGAATCCTATTTCCTGGAGAAGTCCCACAGATAACAGTCTGGTACATTTTACATCTTCACTTCAGTGAATTTGAAATGACATTCACACCATTTGGATTTTATTCTACTAGAGTTATCTTAATTTGAAATGTGGAATCAAGATAGGTCTTTCTGTTACACATAAGAAAGTCTATACTGTTCATGCAGATACATTTATTGATGTGAAATGATGTGAATTTTTCCACTGAGAAATATTTCAAAAAGTAATTTGATCTCAAAAGCCTAGTTGCAAATTCAGAGAAGAATCTTCCCCTTCCTTTGTTCAAAAGTACACTCAGGGTCATATCTAAGAACTTCATTGCAGAGAGGGTAATAATGGTCAGTGTGTTGCACAACAAAATGAAAAAAATTGCCGTCCTTGGGCCCACCCTGGAGCACAAAGCAGGTATAAAAACCTCCCACATGCTGCCTGTCATCACAGTGGGTTGAACCAACACTACTCACTGACACATACACACATTGTCTCATTGTCTCTGGGTTGGAAAACTCCAGGAACTTTAATACACATTCTCCTCTCTAGGACTGTTGACTTTCTCTAGGACTGCTGACACAGTTCCTGTCAGTGTAATCTATATGAACATAAGTAGTTGTTACTGAGCATCCTGCTGTATTGGATCTTCCAGTATTCATCATCATCAACATCAACATCATGATAATAAGCATCGCTCTGATCTGGGCCGTAGTAGTGGGATTCTGCTGCCTTCTGTGGCTCGCTTTGGGGATACGACACAGGTGAGACTGGACATAGGATGTGCATTTCTTACTGTTGAAGCTCCTGTATTTTTCTTACCCACTGTGGTTAGAACATTAAACATTAATGGGATTCTGCTTAACTAGACTGATTGTTTACTGCACACAGATCAACATAACTTTTTCCAGGCAACCAACAATGCTGTGCATGATTCATGTGGTCACTTATGTAACCATGTCACTGTGAATGACATAAGTATGTATTCAGTCGGTGTTAATCAAACAAAAGCTTTTCTAGAGATGATTGAGCTTGGTTGGCATACTGCTGATTTGCAAACATTGTCACCAATGTACTGGCAGTGCTTAGCTGCTGCTGTCAAAGCCTATGTTGTATAGTCACTGGTCATGTGTATTCAGAAAGAAGATGTAGCTGGTTAGGTGCTTTCTTTTGTAATAATACTTTGTGGTCAGATTGACAAAATTGGAGAAACAATTTAATATTAAGATATACAGTTATTATGTTATCAAGAGTTGACTTGAATGAGTGAGTTTACAAGAGTGTCATAATAAGACTAGTATGCAACTCGATTAACCTTGGAAACTGATTTGTAATGTTGTGGAAATGCTGTGGTTGTTGGGAGAACCATGGTTCAACTTCAGGGAGAGTGATCTGAATGAGTTTAAATTATTACATGCATCATCAGCCTTCATCATTGGGAAGACAAAGGTGCATCCTGCAGTAGAACCTATTGTGAGAGGTGTTTTATGCTTTTGAGGGTCAAAAGTAGAATGGTGACAAAAATGAAGGGAAAAAAGATGGGACACAAGATCGCAAGGTGCCCTGGGGACCTTTGTTGTTTGTTTTTACCTTTTTTGGATTACGGTGATCTGCTCTTTGTGAATACACCTGACCAGTATCCAAAGTTGGATAATGTATACTGTGCTCTACATTTCATAATAATGTGTAAATCTTGTACACCAACATCTGTATACTGCAGGCCAGTGGTCATCTTGGTTTTTATATATAAGTCAGCACAGAATATTTTACAAATGTTGGAACACAAAAAAATGCAAACAAAATGCAAGCTTTTAAACATGCTGTCACCTCTTCCTGAAACCTGAAAAAACTACATTATAACAATGACATCTTTATTTTAATTGAACAGAGTATCATTGATTCCAGACAGGGTCAGTGCTTATTCTATCAGCGCAGCTCAGAATAACATGAGGAGACACTTTTCTCTCCTCGTCTCTGTATCACATTTAAATGTTTATAATAGTTTGTTCATCACCAGACAAAAGAGCAAAATACTCACTAAGTAAGAAACTTAAGAATAATCCCTGTACTTATTTACAGTATATCCTTGATGCAATCCTTATAATCCTCTGTATTCAGACAGAAAACATAGAAAACACTTTGACTTTCCCATAGTGACAGTTTGTTTTATTGTCTATGCCCACAGGCAGCCTGGTGAGCCTGCAGTTGAAAATGGCTTCATCCCATACCTGGGCTGTGCTTTGCAATTCGGGGCCAACCCTCTTCAGTTCCTCCGCAGCCGCCAGAAGAAGTACGGCCATATTTTCACCTGCAAGATCGCTGGCCAGTACATTCATTTCCTGTGTGACCCCTTCTCTTACCATTCAGTCATCAGACAAGGGAGGCACCTTGATTGGAGGAAGTTCCATTTTGCTACATCTGTCAAGGTAAATTTATGTGATGTCATCTCTTATTACTTATGCAGTATTCTGTCTGGATATTTTTCTTCTTCCACATGTGGTCTATGTGGTCCTAACACTCTTCTTCCTTTCCTCACCAGGCGTTTGGCCATGACAGCTTCGACCCTCGCCATGGCCACACCACAGAGAACCTTCACCAAACCTTTCTGAAGACCCTGCAGGGTGAGGCTCTCCCCTCCCTAATAGAGACCATGATGGGCCACCTGCAGGACGTCATGCTGAGGTCAGACACACTCAGTCCCAGCAAAGACCACTGGGAGGTGGATGGCATCTTTGCTTTCTGCTACAAGGTCAGTAACTGGACTTTAGCCTGGAGGCATACAAGAGAACTGAAGACACTTGATGATGGCTATTGACCCTAAGGATCTACAAATAATAGTGGGCAGTCTTGATAAGATTGACTCACAAAATTAACTTTTACATTTTGTCCAACAAAATCTGTTGTCTGTTACATCCTAAGTCCCCCCTAAGGGAAAAGACACACAGCAACTATTTCACTTTGGAAATTGTATACTCATTTGCATTTACATGTCCATGTCCTGGACCTGAAAACAATGTTCCCAGCAGTCCCAACAGGTTTTCGTTTGTCCTGCTGTCATTCAGGTGATGTTTGAATCTGGCTACCTGACACTTTTTGGCAAAGAGTTTGGTGAAGATAAGTGTCAGGCTAGGCAGGCGGCCCAGAAAGCCTTAGTGCTCAATGCTTTGGAGAACTTCAAAGAGTTTGACAAGATCTTCCCGGCACTGGTGGCTGGTCTGCCCATCCATGTCTTCAAGAGTGCCTACAGTGCCAGAGAGGTTAGTGGGCTTTTCCTTCTACTACCAAAGGACAAATGACAACAGAAATTGCCACAATACATCTGTGCGGCCATTTCTAACCATTTTTAGAGGATAAATCTCACATTAAAGAAAACATGTGTATGAATTTCTTTCTGTACTTGTATAGAACCTAGCGAAGACCATGCATGCTGAAAACTTGTCCAAGAGGAAGAATGTGTCTGATCTGATCTCTATGAGAATGATCCTGAATGATTCCTTATCCACCTTCAATGACCTGAGCAAGGCAAGAACTCACGTCGCTCTGCTTTGGGCTTCACAGGCTAACACCCTGCCTGCTACCTTCTGGAGTCTCTTTTATATGATCAGGTATGCTAATAGGTTCTCTTTTTCAGTACCTTTCAGGACCAATTATTAGCATGAAGCTGCACAGCTCTGTTCTCAGATAGTCTGTTGCTAGAGTGGCTAACACTACTTGCTTAAAATTAGGCAATATGAATTAATCTATATTTATGTCTATATTTACAGACATGCCCATATCTAACCCCTAACTGGTTTGTCTCAGTAGACCAGTCCAACAGTATAGTGTATTTGTAAAACTATAGCCCATGCATAAGACACCAGGTATCAATTAGAAGATAGCTTGGTTTGGCAAGCACTGTGAGCCCATCAGGAGCTGCTTTGCTAAAATAGCTAGATATTTAGCTAGCTAGCTAGCGATCAATGCTATTAGGACACTCAGCCTTCACTGACACCTGAACCAAGAGCTGAAGAAAGACAAATTTTATGATACAAATCCAGCCAAATGCTTGTCATTAATCTTTTCATTGTTTATTACCTATTAACTTACGCACTGACAGAGTGCCCATCGGCAGCACATTGAGTTTTGAACAGTCAACTTGACCAGCAATGACATAGCATATTAATGACTTGACAGATCTCAGGCGTAACTCTCACACTACTTACCTGACCTGTGTGGGATGGCTACCTTGCTGAACTGTTGTAGCCTTCAAGCGTGTCCACACTGCCAATATTGCTGCCGTATCTTTAAGTATTTGGTTAGCATATCATAATGGCCATCAGTAATAAAATGTTTAATTACACTTCATTATCCAAAAAGTGGGGAGTTCTAACTGAAAGTAGTCATGTGGTTTTTGTTGTGTTTTTGTGATCTGGATAACTTTCCTCTAAGATGAACATAGTGGCCAAATGTATAACTAGTCTAGGACCGTTCATCAATAAATAGGACTGACCTACAAAATTAGCAGTCTGATGTGAACAGGGTGACCTGGGATCAAGTCAAATTGCTGAATTAACCCTTGAACCCTGAATTACTGTTTCAGTGCACTCCTGACCTTATGTACTGTACAGCTGGAGCTCTGACATCATATAACTGCGGCTTTATCAGTTTCAGACAGCTGATTGTGGGTATTGTAGACGTGTAATTAAGATTCTTTGATGAGATGCATTGAGTTTGAAATGAAACAATGGCAGAGGTTAAAGTGCTTGAGTGCTTCTTTATGGGGGATAGGGGTGACAGATTTTAGACAGTAATTAACTACAAATGATTTGCAACCATATACTAAATATGATCCTTTTAGTTTATGTCCACATGTCCAGGTACATCCTGTCCCATAAAAGTGAAGGACTGTGTTCTATATAATAAGGGATACAATTCCTGCCCTTTCATCTGATGTACAGTGGCTTAAGAGAGTATTCAGACCCATTCAGCTTTAACAAACTTTATTGTGTTATAGATTCAATTTTAAATGGATAGAAATTTTGTTTTGCTCATTAAAACTCAGTATCTAAAACAAATGTATTAAAAATTAAAGCCTGAAAGGTCTACAGCCACCTGAGGACTCAATAAAAACAATAAAACATAACGGGGGGTCATAATAAGCTGCTTGAACAGTTGACCACAGTCTCCATGTTGCTATAGCAATGGAATGAAAGTATCTGTTCCTGCATAGGTTGAATTGAAAATAAGTTATCAATGAAAAATAGTGCATCCCTAACAGGCTCCTATATCTATGCTCAGGAGTCCAGATGCATTGAAAGCAGCTTGTGAGGAAGTGCAGAAAGTTTTGAAAGATTCAGGCCTGACAGTTGACCCCAGTGACCCCACACTGAAGCTTACCAGGGACCAGCTGGACAACATGCCTGTTTTAGGTAAGAATTCCACCGAAAATAGAAGTTACTTCTATGATAACCACTATTGCTTATTTTAAATCTAGCCCTGTCTACATTGAATACAAACACTATGGTCTATGAGATTTTGCTGAGTATGAGATCAAACTGAACAGAACATGACCATGTTTTGTGCTTTTAAATATAGTAAAGAAATGAACCTCATGAACCTGCTTTTCTGTCTATAGACAGCATCATAAAAGAAGCCATGCGTCTTTCCAGTGCTTCCATGAATGTGCGTGTTGCCAAGGAAGACTTCCTGCTTCACCTTGACAATCAAGAAGCTTACCATATAAGGAAAGATGATGTCATTGCCCTTTATCCACCCATGCTGCACTACGATCCAGAAATCTATGAGGATCCCTGTGTAAGACTCCTTTGTAATGACAACTAAATGAATGAGAAAATTATCTTCTTTGAGAAATCACTGCAGTTTGTGTACTGCCAAAAACTTATCTTACTTTCGCTTCTCTTCACCCTGCAGGAGTACAAGTTTGACCGTTTCCTGGATGAGATGGGTCAGGAGAAAACCACTTTTTACCGCAGTGGGCGGCGGCTACGTTATTTCTACATGCCCTTTGGCTCCGGAGTCACCAAATGCCCTGGCAGATTTTTTGCTGTGTATGAGATCAAGCAGTTCCTCAGTCTGGTTCTGTCTTACTTTGATATGGAACTATTGGACCCTGCTATCAAAGTCCCTCCTCTTGACCAGTCCCGTGCTGGTCTGGGAATCCTCCAGCCTACCTATGATGTGGACTTCAGGTACAAGCTGAAATCAAACCACTAGGCTCTGTCTTTGTCAGACAGAGTGATTAATGTATATTGTACATAGTATATATTTAACAGTGTTAAATAAGATGCTTTGCTGCATATGTAAATAGACTGAACTATACATTTTTGTTGCTTTAATGTACTGTGCCAAACAATGTCTCTGTTGAAAAGGGCTAAGTAGCATCCTCAGTTTCTGTGAAAAACAGGCCTGGAGCCATATAAATTCATATTACTTACCATAAAAGTGTTTTTGCATATTTGGGTTATTTACTAAAAATCCTGTGGAGTTAAATTACTGCCAACTGATTTTCTACTGTGGAGACAGCCATCGGCTTTAATAGATTTCACTAAGCCACATTTCTGCATCATGGTAATGCAATGTAGACAAATAACTCTGCAATTATCATTCCTTGATTGTTACACAAAAAGAACAATAGAAATAGAAATAAAAAAATAAAAGCAGTCTTCACTGTGATTGACAGCCTGGCAGGAAATCATATTATCATGTTTTTCATTCACTTACCCTGTTTTTCAATAAGATGAAAGTCTAAATGCTGTTTCAAAAGCATTTCCAGACTGGTAAGAGTATTTTTATTGATGAATGTAATCTCCCCTCAGGTAGCTCAGATCCCCATAGAAAAATATCATGTGGACCTCAGTGTTCCAGGTTGTAGCTGTGGATTACAAACTGTAATGGGTGTTTCGAGTATTTGAAAGATGATTTTTATATCAAAATGAAATTAATAGCATCAGATGGAAAAATGGAAAGTTGTAAGGCAAAATCATCAGTGATGTGAAGTATCAGCATTTCTGTACTTTTGAAATACTACCAATTGTGTTACATGTTAGCATTGACTATTACAGCCAGAGTTCTGCAGTGACATATGTTCTTTTTCTGTGTATTCATCACATGGCATAAAAATAAACATTGGCTCATCTGTTCTGTTCTATCACCACTTGCTTGGTACTTTGACGTCAGCTCAATTATTCTGTGAAACTGCTGAGGGAAGCACAAAACTTGTTTTTAATCGATGAATGCATTACTGTTATCAGAATCATTTACTGACTTCACCTTCACCCTGTAGTAGGAGATAGATAAAAATAGCTCAACCTTGGAGTTTGCTCTCTCTGGCTGTCTTACTCTCAGACACTGGTGTCACTGAATACATGTCTGATTGTCGGCCAATGCTGACCTTTATATGACTTCTACCCTCTCAATATCATAATTCAAGACATGCTGCTTAACAATATCATAAGTTGTAGTTAGTTTAATGAGCATAGAGTACATTTCCAAACAGATTTTTAGTCAAGCAAGCTGAAAAGTTGCAACAGAGCAGATAAACGGATAAACTCTGCACAGAGCTATGAGCTTATTAGGAAATACTGTTAATTCAGGTGCATCAAAGAAATGAAATAATGCTCATTTGCACAAGTGTGACATTTATGATGCACAATTGGCTGCACAGTTTTGCTGATGAAGGTATCTTTGAGTGCTGCTCAACAGGTATGTCCAATTTTCAACCGGCACTCCTGACTTTTTAATACTGTGAATTATAGAACAATTACACATATGATTAAAGAGCTGGCAGCATATGGACACTGACATCAAAATGTCAGGTTCAGCCATAGTCAGACTTCAATGACAAGGAAGATGATTCAGTTATTGATATTACTTTTCCGCATGAAAAACTTCACGTCATTGTTAAGCTTCCAGGTTTACATGCTCTCTGAGTAATTGTAATGAGCCTGGAAATAAAATTGATGCACAGCTGTTTTACTTTTATTCCCTGACAATCTGAAGGTTTCCACTGAACAAAAGTGCATCCCGTGTGTGTGTGTGTGTGTACGTGTGTGTGTGTGTGTGTGTGTGTGTGTGTGTGTGTGTGTGTGTGTGTGTGTGTGTGTGTTTGTGTGTGTGTGTGTGTGTGTGTGTGTGTGATGACATGTAGATGCTGAGCAAACAGATAATAAATCAATACATTTGTACATTTCTCTGTCTCAACCTGTGCAGATACAAATAAATATATACAGTTGAAATCAGATGTTTACATACTCTTAGACTAGACTTTTTAACCACCTCCACAGATTTCATGTTATCAAACTATAGTTAAGGTAAGTCAGTAATTTTTTCAACAATCGTTTACAGACAGATTGTTTCCATTTTAATTTGCTACATCACAGTTTCATCACAGTATGGCAGAAGTTTACAGACACTGGGTTCAGAGTGCCTTGAAACAGTTTGGAAAATTCCTGCAAATGATGTCATGGCTTTAGAAGCTTCTGATAAACTAATTGATATAATCTAGGTTAATTGGAGGTGAACCTGTCGAAGTATTTTAAGGCCTACCTTCAAACTCAGTGCCTCTTTGATTGACATCATGGGAAAATCAAAAGAAATAACGTCCACTTAGCATGACAGTTAAACCCACTTCAAGTCATGTAATACAGCTGCACCTCCTGGTCCAGTGTAAAAGAGGTTTAAGCACGGCAGCCATGCTATCTAGCTGCTGCAGACCCACTGAGTAAGATTTTTAAACACACATTTAATAACCGGAGCATCTCACTCAGAGGCTCCAACACTGACAGGAGCACAACACACAGATGAGGAACAGATCCATTTTACCTGTCTGCAGCTAGCAGCTCACTTTCAGTCCAAACAGAGAGGCACTCTGGTCTACTGGTAAAGACATGGAGGACGTGGCGCAGATGGACATCAGGACAGCCCTGTGTAGATTGCTGCCCCTAACATCCAGACAGGGATAAGCAGTATATGGATGGATGGCAAAAGATAGTTTATCACTGTAAGTTGATACATCTGATTTATATAGAATATTTTATGTGCAGTAGTTTCAGTTTTTCATGAAATTATAGAGAAACAGGCTGATTGTCTTCTGGTGTCCAGATACTATTATTTTCACACATTCTGCCATTTTGCCTCTGTGTGATTTGGACAATTTAAAATTACGCCCACTTAGAGTTATGTACCTCTCTTGCCGTCTGGCAAGATGTTAAAAAAAAAATTTGATGGTGGACCTCCACAAGTCTGGTTTATCCAATAGTACACAAATAAACACTATGAGACCATGGAGGTGTCAGACCACTCAGGAAGGAGATCTTTTCTGTCAGATACTTGGTTGCAAAAAGTGCAAGTCAATTCCAGAATAACAGCAAAGGATCTAATGTATATCCACAGTAAAACAGACCTATATCAACATAATCTGAAATGCTGCTCAGCAAGGAAAAAGACACTGCTCCAAAACCACCATAAAAACAAAACTACAAAACTATAGTTTGCAGCTGCACATGGAGACACAGATTCTACTTTCTGGAGAAAAACATATATATAAGTATGTATAAACTGTGTATATATATATATATATATATATATATATATATATTTGTGTATGTATTTATGTCCATATACACAGCCTAAATTCTTCATGGCATGGATTCCATAATATGTTGCAAACTTCCCTTTGAGAATCTAAATTTGATGAAATTGAGATTCATCAGACCAGGCTATGTTTTTCCAGTCTACAACTGTCTGTGTCAACTGAAGCCTCAGCCCGTTTCTGTTCTTGGCCACATGCAATAGAATTCAACGTGGTCTGCTGTTGTAGTTCATCCATCTCAAGGTTGGTGAATTCTGAGATGCTTACCACAGATGTAAAGAATGGTTATCTGAGTTACCATAGTTACCAGAGTTTCCATAGCGTCAATCAGCTTGAACCATTCTGCCCATTGTCCTTTGACCTCTCTCATCAAAAAGGCATATTCATCAGCAGAACTGCTGCTCACTGAATGTTTTTGTTGTTGCTCCATTCTGAGTAAAAATTGAGACTGATGTGTGTGAAAATCCAGGAGATCAGCAGTTCGAGAAACACTGAAACCAGCCATCTGACACCAACAATCAAGTCACGGTCAAAGTCACTGAGATCACGTTTTTTCCCCATTCAGCTGTTTGATGTGAACTGAAGCGGAGCTCCAGACCTTCATATCTACATGTTTTTATGCACTGCCGCCACATGATAAAGTATAAAAAAAACAAACACATGCAGCTAATTAATAAATGTTTTAAGTTCTTTCTTAATATAGGATAGTGAAGGAGCAAACTGTAAATCAGCCAACAGGTCCTCCAACCTAAACAACCATATACTGTAGGTCGAGTTTTCTTTGATGTCTGAGAATCAAACGGCTGTAGGTTGGTCAGATATATATTCTGAGAACATACCTTTGAGAGTGTGTGTATATATATATATATATATATATATATATAATAATATATATATATATAATCTCTCTCTGGTACACTGGCGGACACCTGGCCTGGCTTATTTTGGCCTGCTGTGAACAGTGATTATACATCTAAAGTAATGTACCATGACTTATGGGTTAAAACCAGGGCGCATGCAACACCCCCACCGTAAAATAGTGAATGGGGGAGCGCCACGGACATCATTCACGCCGACTAACAGCGCGACAACGTGTCAGCCAGGACATTTTCTCGGCCCTTAATGTGCCTGACCTCCACGTTGAAGGACTGTAAAAAGAGTGCCCAGCGCATTAGCCTTTGATTCGTGTTCTGCATCTGATTAATAAACACGAGAGGATTGTGGTCAGTGAAAACAACAACGGGCGCACTAGCAGAGCCAACATAAACTTCAAAGTGCTTGAGAGCCAAGACAAGTGCGAGAGCCTCCTTCTCGATCGTGGAATACACACGTTGGTGCCGGTTAAATTTCTTAGAGAAATAAGAGACCGGGTGTTCCACCCCATCATCTCCCTCTTGAAGAAGGATGGCACCCGCCCCAGCATCATTCGCATCAACAGAGAGTTTAAACGGACGATCAAATGCAGGCACTGCCAAGACTGAAGAATGAGTCAACAAAGCTTTTACACAGTCAAACGCACACTGACAACTTTCAGACCAGTGAAAGCGCATTTTGGGACTCAACAGATCAGTGAGCGGAGCTGCAACAGCAGAGAAATTTTTATAAAAGCTTCTATAATACCCCGCCATCCCCAAAAAACGGCGCAGCTCACGGTGTGAAATTAAAGATATGAATCTTTAATTGAATGTTCTGATTCCCGGCCACACCAACACAATGAGAAGCACGGATGAGTTAAAATATGTTTATTTTAAATATTCAGTTTAAAATGCAATTGCTTTTTTATCAATAAAAAGATGAAACAATCAGGGTAAAATAAAACACTGTCCAAGTCTCAGAGGCAGTCACTGAGTTCTGCAAGTTAAAATACCAGACAGTCCAGTCGGTGTTGTAGTGCCGCCCGGGGTTTTCCTCGTCGCCCTGGTTGTCAGCCGGGAGAGCAGGGCCCGCTCCAGCAGGCTCCCTACGCCTTCAGTCCGCTCCGTGATTCCGGTGCAGGATTCCCGCGCCGCCGTCTGTCGCTGTCAGGGGGAAAGAGTGGAATCAGCGCCCAGTCTGTCTCATTGCCGGCAAATTCAAGGGTCAACCTAGCCTTTAACTAATGCACTTTCCTTTACAACATTACGTGAATGCCCATCAATTCAACATGCCGCCGTCTGCCGCCGTTCTCCGTCATCCAGGTCCGCTTTTTGTGGAGGATTGCGAACGTTGATCTAGAGTTTGGAGTTCTTCACCAAGCCAGGGAAACACCGTGGAGTGAAGCGTGGATCCAGTCCAGCAGCAGCAGCAGCAGCAGCAGCAGGACAGTGAGAGGAGGAGGAGAAGGCGACAGCGACCTGTGCTCAGTCCGACCTGCCGCAGGTATCTGGTGCTTTCCTTAGAAAGCCAGGGAGGAACAACCGGTGATTGCAATCACTGATGTGATGAGGCTCAGGTGTGTCCATCTGCAGCCACAAGTGCCTTTGTTTACGTTTGAAGCGGGTAAAAGTCTAACACAGCACACAATAAATCCAGCAAACCATAAACACAATCACAATATAATAATCGCT